AAGTAGGCTACCTTGTCGGTTGTTTGGACTGCGTAGACATTACGCTTTCCCCGCGTTTTGGCTCGGCCAATTGTGGCCTTTTTGCCTGATGCGACGCCCATCGCACGACCGTGGGCGAGCACAGCATCGGGGGAGATCCTGAGCCTTTAGTATGGCTTTTTCGGCGGCCGTGAGGCGGCCGCCGCTTGGGGCTCCCATGTTCAGAGCGGGGCGTGCCCGGGCGCCTCCGTCGGAGAATTAGCGTTGCGGAGCCGGCCGCGCTGGTTGACAGGGACGGTTTTCCAGCCGCCATCTGTGCCCTCGCCGTCGTAGGTTTGGGAGGGATGGGGCTGGGCGGTGGAGTCGTTACCTGCCAGGGATTCCCGTCGGGCGCCAGGGGTGGTTCCGCTCTGGCCCGCGTACGGAGGTGCCGACGCTTCTTCGTGGGTGTGGGGGAGGTCGCCGCCCTCGCCGCGGAGATACTGGGACCCTCCCTGGACGTGTCCGTCTCGGGTGGGGCCAGGGCCTACAACTACGGCTGGAGCAGCGGCCTTCGGCTTTCGCCGACGGTTGCGGTTTCTGCCTCTGGAGGTGGCGGTCGCGGAGCCGGCGTCCACTTCGGTGGACGGCGGTCGGCCGGATTCGCCTTCCCCGCTGCTCCTTTGCGAGGAGGGGGAGGTCTCGGGTGGCCCGCTGGAGGATGTAGGGCCCACCGGGCCGCTGTCGTCTCGATCTGCGGGTGCCGGCAGCTCGGGCTATGCAGCGGGGGAGGGGAGCGTTGCACTCTCCTCCGCTGTGTTGCCGCTGGTTACGCCGCAGGTCCCCGAGGCCAGTGGCGTTGCGGACGGGTCGTCCGTGGATTGTTGTGGGGCTGGGGAGTGCGCTTCGAATGCGCGCACCCTTTCCAGCACTGAGGGCGATGGCCGCGGCTCCGGCGTGGGGCTGGAAGTAGCCTGGGCGGAAGGCCCGCCGCATTTCTTCCAGAAGCTCCACAGCTCCGCTTCGTGTGCCCGTGCGAAGGCGAGTACCACCTCCCAGGGGACCATTTTAGGTTTCTCCCAATCGTTGCCGTTCATGTTGTACGTTGCGGGGGTGGAGGAGACGGAGCTCCATGTGTCTCCACACATCCTCTGCAGGCGCAGAGTAGGGACTCTCTTTGGAGTCGAGCCCATACCGATGGCGGAAGGAGCAGTCGCTGCGACTTCCACCATGTTGTTTTCGTCCGATGGCCGAGGCAGCAGCGGCGGCGGCAGTGGTGGCGGAGCTGCAGCGGCAATGTTGGCGGCGGGCACTACCGCGTCGTCCGCAGGGCCGGCGCCTCCGTTTTATTTCCGCCATGTCTTTGTTGCCAAGGTACCTGCCCGCCCCCTTGCTCAGGCGGCCCGGCGGGGCATGGGGCGAAAGGCGCAGGCCCGGGTCTATGCGCGCTGGCGTTCGGGTCGGCCAGAGGAGCGGAGCGGCAGGGGCACATCCGCACCCATCGACCGCTCGTCGCGAAGCGGGGTACCAGGTCAATATACACAAAACAGTCATAAACACGCAACTGTCCTTGAAATTCGGGCAAAGGGCCCGCCCGGGGCCCGCCAATATAAGAGAAGCCATGCTAGCTGCACCTCTCTTCTGTAGTGAACTCTCCAAATTCTAACTGAACACAGTATGCGTTAATTATTAACTTTTAAAAATAGTAACCTTGAATATAGTTTCAGAATTCTTCAGTGATGTTTTATCACTATAATAAAATATTTTTCATTGAACTTTCTCCTTTGTCGGAATGACAATACATTAGGTTGTGCCATAGAGCCACGACACGTTAGCCAACGTTCGTGAAATGAAATCGAATCATTTTTGCATGTTAATCACTGGGCCACGCCTCCAAGTATGATCCATGTGGTATGGCATTAGTGGCTGTGAAAAAAACCGGTCACATGACTAAACGCTCTGTCATACAAGTTTGTAGCATTTATTCTGTGACACCTGTGTAACTTAAAGACAGTTCCTTGAAATAAGCAACGAAATTGGCCTTCAAAAAGAAGGGACCAGTGAAGGAAAATATATAGAAACGGCTTAAGTTTGACATTGATAAATAAGATGCAAGATGAAAGGACATAGTGGTGCTTGAGGGTAAGGTTGAAAGATGAAAAAATGTTGAGTAGAACAAATAAAATTTTTATGGTATATAAAAAACTTCATTGTGTACTAAGTACAGAACTTGTCAGTGTACATCAAGTATATAAGTATTTCTCATTGTTAAATGATCACTGGATAGTTGGTTTACCATTTGTTTGTATTTATTGGATGGCAATTTCTTGGCAGCATTGTTTATTCACATCAAGATTCTATTCAGTATCTCAACTTAAAATACTATTTTACCTAGACTGAACTGACCTTTGCAAATTCATTTTCTTTCATTCCCTTATAAGTATATTTATTTTCATCTACACAAAAATGTCAGTTTCATCACTTATGTAAAACTACCATTTAAATTTTTATATTGGCTTTAAAACAATGTCATTCTGATATGTTAAACATACTTAATACTAGTGTAAGCAACATCACTTTTCATTTCATGGTTCCTTTTCACTTTCTGCACATGGACCACATTTCATTCTAGTTATCACTGATGTCACATATAATATAATATTCTTTTTTAAATCAAAATATTACAATATTTATTTCATTGTGGGATTCTACTAACCATTAATAAGCTACTTGGGTTTGCGACAACGAAAAATTCATTGCATATTATGTGAAGTGTCAAATTACATCTATTAGGCACCGAGTCACGGTCTTATGTGTATTCCAATAACACCTTCTTATTGTAATTACTGGACTAAAGGAATGCCTGACTGGTTTTAATTTGCAGATTGACTACTCTTTCACATTTACCCAAGACACTTCTCTACTTGCTTCCATATTTCTTAACATATTCACTATTGAAAACACATATGCATTTACAAGTATAGCAGTTTTAGCATTTTCAGCATAATTTATGAAAAATAAGAAGAATAAATTAAACATTCAAATTTCATGCTTGTTCATGCAATAAACAAAAAATTGACTTTTTTCCACTTTAAAACTTTACTCAAGCTTTACTATGGTAAATGCCTGAAAAGTTGCATTTAAACTATTTTTATCTGAACTAATCTATTCTAAGGAATGACTTCTATGACTCATCAAAACAAGTGGCTTTGTGAACCATATTTATGGCACTGTAAAACGAATTAGATATAATAAGGCATAATATGTGGCTGGAAAGCCACATTCACACACACGGATTTGTGCAGGCACACATTCTTGCAAGTACAATCTTCTAATATTCTTTGCATCCTCTCTCCTATCACTTGTTTTCATTTTCTGAATGGTCCTCATTACCTACATGAAACTTGTACCCAATATTCAGAACTAGATCACAGTCATCATTAAGAAAATCACGAGGAAAATTATTAGTTAACTGGCGTAGTGTATATTTTATGTTCCTAAAACATTGGTATTTCATCACTGTCTTGCTGATCCACTGCTGCATAGGCTGCTGAAAATCCTTTACTTACAATTGTATCATCTGAATGGAAGCGGACAAGAAGAGCTTCATTCATTGAAATAATGTCTGTAGGATTCTGAAATGAAACAAATGCGTTTATGTTAAATATTGAGGACTGGAAGGTTGATAGAAACAAGAAATGGCAGACATTCCTACAAAACAGGAGTAGTTATGTAATACCAGGACAATATGAATCTGTAAACATAGTGGAATAGTGATCTAACATTTTTCTGTATAAGATATATTATTTTGAGAAAGTTTAAAATATAATGAATAAATAGTTTCTATTATCGTAAAATGCATATCATTATTGTTTGGTATGTTAATGTTTACTGATATCAGCATAATAAAGTAGTATTTTAGATATAAAGATGAAGTTCTTTAATGACTTCTACACACTGAAAGTGCAGGTACACACTGGTAGCTTTATTTTAATTAAAAAACATTTTAACCTAGTATTCTAAAACATTTTAATGAATGGGCTCCTTTTTCTACCCTGCGACAGAGATTTGCTTGACACATAAACATATCCCTTTAGAACATTGAGTGATTTATGAAAATATCATTATATTATTAACCATCTGTGGCCATTCTCAGCTAAATGTGTTATATTCTTGTGTAATATTTTTGGGTATTTTTGATGTGTTTATTTTGTTAGTTGAATGATAACATGAAAAAGATTCAATGTTGGTTAGATCATAGTTCTTTTCATGTGATGTAATCTTGTTTCCTGTAATCTATGAGTCATTAAACAAATTGAATTCCATAAACATCACGTAAAATCTAACACAATCTTTTGCATAGTGTAGACTCTTAAATGTGTAATTTTTCTCAGCTATTTTGTAGTTTATTTTACAGAAAACCTTTCTTGGGCTTTACTAGAAAAATTGGTTATTACTTGTTAGATCCCTCTTCGGGGCAACTACTCAATTGGTTGTGTGGGTCAAGTTACGAAGTATTAATTTTTGTTTTGTTTGTTAACAATTCATTTGCTCACCGAATTTCCACAAAACTTTCCATATGAAGGACCACTTGAATCAAGCCCAGAAAACACTTCCACCGCATCATATGCACATTCTGGTTCCTCTTCCACATCAAAAGTGAGAAAAGTCAAGTGGACATTTTTCCCTGGATCAGCTTCAATGGTCCAATCACAGCTGGCTCCATTTTCATAATTATGGTCTCCGTATTTGGCATGAGAGTATAGATGCTTAACGCGCCTTGTGGCACGCAGGTGACCACCACATGCTGAAAATGGCATAATTTGTAAAATAGCTTATTCATTATATTACAAATATATTTTTCAAGAAAAAAATATTTTCTGACATTTTCAGTAGTCATTAATACTGACGTTTTTATTACTGGTTTTGTAAACAAAGTCTCAGAATTAAATCTGGGTTTATGAATTACCAGATGAGAATAATTGGTATGTTCTAATGTAATCTCATGCAATCTCAAAAGAATTTGGTCATTGGTCTTATCATTTGAAATAATCATTTTGAAAACTTGAAAGCAAATCAAAGCAAGATGCAGTTGTGGAAAAATAGATGTTGATGAAAAGATGTTGAATGATAATTAATAAAATGATCTATTGTAATAATTCACCATGAGGAATATTGCTTTTAAAATAATAACATACTTTAGGAAATGTAGTTCACAGGATTTGATCGGAGTGAGTAGAAAAATTAAAACATTTGTTTGCTTACATCTGAAATGACATCTTCATGAATAGAAAACAGAGCTAGCTTGTTTCTTGAGGCAAGTATGAAATTTATTATAATTTGAATGAATAAATTAAAAAATGTAATTTTCTCATAAATATACGCATGTATCACACTTAATATGAATTGGCAACACTCATGAGTCATGTTGTTAATTAAGTACCAATTCACATGACACAGATGCCAAATCTTATTTCACCAATTTCCCTTCGGATTTGGTGATTTATAATTAGTTTTAACTAGGTTTTGATATTGTTAGGTAAAGGCAATATATAGTTTTATGAGCGTGTTCTAGCGGTTCCCCTTAGGACTGCCACTGTGCGCCACTGTGCCACTGTGCATTTCGTGAGTGTCCGTGAAGGGGGATGTTGACGAGGACGTGTGATAGTGCTACTCGTAGAAAATGTATTAGTGATAAATATAACGGTCCTCAACATGGTAACAGAGCGTGGTTAGTTGAACATTTATTCAGACGAAGATAGTGTGTGATTTTGACCATAAATAACACAACCGAAATACGTTTGTAAAGGTCGGGAGCAAGTGTTCACTCGAGACGTTGTTACACGCAGAGGTCACGTAGGATACAGTAACGGAGCCACTCCTTTTCATGACCCCTGACACCATGATGAAGGACCCTAACGAATGAGGCACCCTAACGAAAGTACTGCTATAGACAGAGGTCACGTAGGCCACGGTGACGGAGCCACCCCGCGAGGGACCATGACTAAACTACCCCCCCGACCTACGAGCCCTAGCCTTTTACTTAATGACGTCTCATGCCAGCACACGCGGAGTAAGTCACGTAGGTATTGGTATTTAAGCTCTGCGCCCATGTCTAAACAAGTCAGATCAGTCACTGTCTCGCTGCCGTGCGGTTGCTCGTCACGAGGTGGCCGAGGTCATTCTCGCTTGTAACTGTTTTTCAGTATCTATTAAATATTTGTATACGAATCGAAGTAAGTTATTTCTGAGGAAACCTTCTCCGATCCGTAACAACGTACTAGAAGCTTAAGAGAACTAGTGTCCCTTTTTATCAAGAAATGATTTGTAGAAGAATTGCAAAATATGAGTGGAAAGAAGCAACAAATTGATAAGTGAAGTGGGGAAGAAAAACACATGGCGCCTACTTTCGAAGGTAGTGGTAGAATATGATGCAGTGTATGATCTAGTTACGGGCGTGCGGTGACAACTTTGTACCCTAGCTGCTAACGACTAAACTTGGACCAAACAGCTTCCCCCTCCCCTACCATATATAAAGTAGCCGCGCAAAAATATATTATTTTCCTAAACCTTGAAACACAAAATGTTTTCAAAATAAACAACATGCAATTGATCACTCCTTTACAAAATGTGCTTTCATGAAAGAAAAAGTAAATACTAACTTACAGTGTGAAAACTTACATATGAAATCTGCTTCCTGCAAACGTTGTTGTTTTCTTCGAAAAATGAATGTGTTCAAATATCCTGAAGCAGAGGTGATTCAAGAGGCAAAAGTTTATAATATTTTTTTCACTAGTTCTGTTTCGGCGATAGGTTTTAATTTTTTTACATCGCACACAGTCCTGCTATACTCACTGTCTCTATTTAACACAAATATTTATTTCTTAATCTACACACACTCATTTCCGTTGCCGTCTGGCCTAGTGAAAATTCTATCCTATTATATTACTTCTGTATGACTATTATCTATACTACTGCTACTATTGCCAATACGTACATTCTTGGTTATTATGTATAATGTATGCTATTAGGTGTTATTTATAATACATAAATCTATTCGAGCGGCTAGATTCTACCGATCAGAATCTAGTTTTTAGTGGCTTGTGTCCGGCATTGATCCTTTGCATATTTTCATATACTTTTTCACCTCACAATCACTTATGCTGCCACTAACTTCTTGCTTTCACTTCACTGACAATGGAGGCACACACTTTCTAGACAGGGGCTCCAGGTTGTCGTTTGGTGGTGTTGCAGGTCTTTTCTGTTGTTCTGCAGCTAGCTTCCTGTGGCATGGAGTGGAGGACGGCGCCTTTGCGGACTCTGACCCGCGCTATCTGTTTCTACTCACGCGGGGCCAGGTGTATATTGTCGGTGTGCGTGTAATAGCACGCCGCACTGCCATGAATGGCCTCAGTGATTTTTCTTTCTCTTAAGGCTGATTCTCTCAGAGCACCTGCCGCCCCGCTGCAGTGGCTGCTTCTTTGTAAATGACCCCGATGTTGTTACGTTGGGCGTTCCATAAAGGTGACAGATGTTCTCGGATGCTTGTTGCCTTTTGCTCCACGTACGTATCATTCTACAGCGCTTGGCCACGTTACCTGGGTAGCAGTTGAGAGCTGGAGAGGAGTTGATCCTGGCCGGAAAAAGAAACTTATAGGTGGGAATTTTCATGATCCGGCCAGGAAGTAAGTAGATTCCTTCCCCAACCCCTTTAGAGCGCTTGCATATATACCTTGGGCGGGCTGTTCCAGCCAGCGCTGGGAGTGTGCCCTATGGAAAGCGTCACCAGCAATGGCCGGTCCTTGGCGCTCAATATCTCTCTATCCTCATCTCCATTCCCCTCCTCCGCGTTCGTCCCCAGTCGGCAAGTGATCATCGCAGGTAGTGGCGGGGTCTCTGAGGGCACCCCCATCCTCAGCGGTGCTGCTGCAGCCCGGTCGGGTCGAGAAGGTTCGGGGGTGGGACGCCACTGGCGGCCCCGCGCGCACTCGCTCCTGCGGTTGGTGTCAGTTCCGGGACGACGGCCTCGACAGGAGAGAATGGTAGGGGTCGCTCCTTTTCGCGACTCCGCTGTGCTGCGCCCAATCGGGCACAGCGGGGGTTTCGTCCTTTCGTACCAGGTAGGGGGAAGGTGTGGGGAAGTGTGTCAGGAGTGTGTGGGTTCCCTATTTCTGTGAATTTCCATTCTATTTTTAAGCGTTTGGATGCCTGTCTTGCCTGCGACTAGAATGCAAGCGGCCCGTAGCTGCGTTTTGTTTTTTCATTGTTTAGGTAGCATAGGACGGAAGGTATGCCTGACTCACTTTCGTGGCAGTACGCCGCTTCCTCGACTGCGTCTTGTAGAGATGCTCTGGTGTTAGTACCTCGGCAAGTCAATATTTTGAACGCAGAGTCGACTGCCCGGAAGTCTGCCTCCGCGCTCTAGCATTGCATTCCGATAGCTCCATCCTCCCTGTTGCCGTAGGTAAAGGAGGTTGATGCGCATTCAGGAAGGGAGAGAAACTCCTTCACGTTTGCCCTAATCGCCGTGTCAATTACATTAAGCTTATTTTTGGCATACCTTCCCATCCTCAGTGGAAAGATCATTGTGGGCAGAGCGAACTGGCAGAGGGCGTCCAGCTTTTGCCAGTCGAATAGACATGAATCTGCTATTTGACCCGAAACGATTTCCTATTCTCTGAGTTAAGTGTACAGTATGCTATTCGAAAAATCGGGGAATTTAGTGTTCTGATCACGTGTGTCAGAACCTTGCTCATAACAATTAATAAAATATATTGGGAAAATTCTGGTTCTCTCTCATTACAGCGAGAGAGAAATGTGCCCCGTAATCATGATATACGTTATGAACATCTCGGCAAACGGTACAATAATTTAAAGTGACAAAACATGACATTTAAAATAATGATGAATTATTAGGGAAAGGCAGTTTCGATTTAGAACAATGGTTAAATTACACGACCGAGTTTGCTCGAGAAGCGTTTTTCTGGAAGCTCTTTTTTCATTGTTCTGGCCTGGATGAAACCTCTTTCAATTTTCTTAGCATAATAATAAATAAATGCAATGCAATGAGCAGACAGAAATAGAAGGTGCGATTCGATCATTGCTTCTTTTCAGACTCTATTCTAGAATTGACAGGAGCAACGGTATGAACAAGCCTTGTCTGCCAGACCTCGGTCACAGAGTAGTGGAGTAATAGTGTAGTTGAGAAGAGTATATTACGCGGCATGAAGCAAGTGCATTGCAACGAAAACTTATTGTACATGGCAGCATGCTTCGAAACGTCGTGAATTCAAAGTAAGTAAGTAGGAATTCAATTAGGATTTTACGTTTTGTATTAAGTTTCACATTAGACTTAATCATTTATTACATGTTTTAAAACACTGCGGTTGCTGAATATTTTTTATGTTATCAGATCTGCGTCAATTGCAAAGAGAATGCTAAACCTGCTCAGTTGTATTTTTACATGTGAATTTGTTCAACAACCAAACCAAACTAATGTAAATGATTTATTCAAAGGAGCAACTGTATTTCATTCCTCTTTTATAAAGATAAAAGGTATCTTTCTTTAACCATACATGTGTTTCTTTTTGCAATATTTTTTTCTTCATTGATTGATTCTTTTGATCTTCATTGTATTAATATTTTAGTTGTATTTGTAAATGTGAATTTCTTAATTATAGCAAACGTAACCAAAAGAATATCAGTACCGCAACAACGTTAGAGCAAATACTGTCTTTCTATAGAACTGAATTATGATGTGTAATTTGTAGATAGAATGACAAATATTTGTATACTGGTATTGATGAA